GTGTGTGTTAGTTAGTTAGTTAGGGGGAAATTATGTTTCCTTGTGCTACAGAGACATAGTTACTTTCTAAGTAAGCTTATTTTAGCCAAAAGGCAGGAAATTGCAGCATGCCCAAACAGTTCAGGTACCAGCCCTGACTCAACTCCCCTGTTGAATCTGCCACACTTTTTAAACTTGCTGGGCCTCAACAACATCTGTGTGCTTTGTTGCCATCACTCGCTAGCCAACACACACCCTGTGGAGAGTCCCCCCTCCATGTGTCTGCTCCTTTGGAGGCCTTCTGACAGCCAAGGAAGTGATTTAGTCTTCATGGAGTCATTCACACCATCCAGACTTCCCTCAAACGAGTGATTTACACTTGCAAAACAACCATCCACATACAAGTCCCTCTCTCAGTTTCTCCATTCTTCCTGAAAATGCATATAACAGCTTTGACCTTCCTGGAGGGTGCTACTTTCTGTATTGTCTTCACCAGCCTTCTGTGGAGGTGTCTTTTTTCCCAGTGGAGAAGCTCTTTTTAGTCGCGTTTTCTAGCATTGCCTCTTCTTGGGTTTTCACTAGTTTCATAGGCTGCAGTTTACTCCAGATGGGCTTTACTATGCTCCAAATTCATTACACTTGCTGAGAGTTATCAGGTAGTCTTTGACCTGTGGGATCTGTTGTCCTATTAAAGATGGTCTCTACTGGACTAATAATGGCAGATTATTTAGTTGCTGCTCCTCCATCAGGCAGGGAGACCCCTCCAGAACCTTGTATTTTTTTTACCGTGCAACCTGTTGAGAAAGACGCCCAGGGTGTAAATCATTTGTGGTTAAAAAAAAAAACAACTGAATGCCTATGCTCAAATTCCTAAAGGTCTCCCATGTGAAACTTGAAAGAAGGCAAACTGATTTCGGTACTCTACAAACGGAGGTCATACATTTAACTAAATTGTGCTGCCAAGCATCAGGTGGTCCATGATAGCTAACAGTGTGCATGCTTATAGCTCTCAGCAGATGTGAGAAGAAATGCAGTGAGCCTAAATCTTGTCTACTGGTGTTTAAAGCTAATGCTTTTTATTTCCTATTTGCATCGGCTGGAGACACAGTTGCCACAGTTGTATTGATGCATGCCAGCTCATTAAATCATTGCAACTCAGTCATATACCTAAATTCACTGATAGACAAGGGTAACTTTTGAAGATGAGTTTTTAAGTGGTTGTAGGAGCCAAGCAGAATTTTCAATGTTCTTCTTGAAACAAACAGAGATTTAGAGGTCTAAGATACTTGGGTGGTTGGGGTTTTTTTGCAAATTCCACCAGCCTACTAAATACCTCTGCAAGTCTGAGCAGCTCAATCAGTTAGAATATGGGATGGGGCCCTTGATCACTTGGGACTTTTCTTGTGAAGATCTCAAGATGAAGATCTGAGTTCTTCTCATTTGCGGAATATTTATATTCAAGCTTAGCCTGAATCCATTCTAAAAATTAAGTGAACAACAAAAAACAAATCTGCACTGGAATCCTACCTCTTCTCAGAGTCTGAAGCTCTGTTGTTAGTCCCATAATTTGCCACCCAGACATCTTGGGCTGAATTTTTTTGTGCTTTCTTGGTTTTGTGAAGGAGGGGGGCACAGTGCGTGTGTGTGGGGAAAATAATGATAGCCAATGGAAAATAACCAAAGCCATTAGGTTTGACTTGCTAGCTGCACTGAGATGAATGTGCAGCCCTGGCACAGTGCAATGCACATTGCATGTGCAATTCCAGTAAGCTGTCAAGGAGCCATCAGCTCCTTGAAATTCTTTCAGGGGCCACTGTAGAGAGGATATTAGGGGTCTGCCATCCGCATCAGTAAGAGTTGTATGTATACACTTGGAAATTTTCTAGAGCATAGTTACAGCAATATACTACACATTAAAAATAACATCACATACTGCAAATAATGAGGTGAAAGTAAAGTTAGGATAAATCATGTCTCTGCAGAACGGTAAATATTAGCTGTAAGTTACTATAATCAGAGGGTGTCTGCCCCAAGCTGCATGTTCAAGAATATGACAGAGCGTGATACTGACTTGCCTCTGCGGGAGCACCGTCCCTCCAGCTGACCCCAAGGAGGGCCACTCCTTCCAGGACTAGCAGTAGTGGCACAAGCAAAACCAAATGACTGATGTTGGGATGCCGAATTCCTGCAGCGCTCTCCTCATGGGGCTGTACGCCAGCCAACCACCTCAGCAAACTTCCAGCACAGTCCAAAAGCTCTGGTTCACAACAGACCCACATGTCCTTCCTCTCTTCCCTCAGGTTTCTAATAAATTCCTGCCTTGGCCAGAAAGTGTCTCTTTTTTTCCTTGACGAATATCAGCTAAGTGAATGTTTTCCAATTTGAAACTGCTCCCACCAAGGCAGACCTCTCTTGCAGATGAGGTGGGGCCAGCCTGAGCCCACCATAGGTGTTTAGCCCAGTACTGCCCACTGATGGTCGTGATCAACGATTCACCGCTGACCTAGGGAATCACATCACCTTTACAGTGATTTTAATGAAGGGCTGGACAGAAAGAAAGCATGGACATCTTTGGGAAAAGCTGATCTAACAGTGAATTCAGCATGAATTGTCAACATAGACTATGCAGGTTTTGTTGTTGAAGTTATCACAGATTACACAGGATGATGAAAAAAAAAATGGTAGTTTTTGGAACGCAGCAGTATTACCAACTCTGATCAACTGGTAAAATATGCCCTGGGGAGTCAGAGCTAGAGGAATCAAAGGAAAAGGAAAATAAAAAAGAGACCGTTAAAGTTTTTGTTGCCTTTTTTTTAATTAAGGTTCTTGCACTAAAAAATAATTTTCTATAGTGTCTTTCATTGAAAGAGTTTGAGAATGAATTGCATGTGTGTCAAGGAACCACTTATGTGGCCCTTACTACACTATTACTTGAGCACCTCCCACATTATTAAAAGGCACAAAACAATAGAGCAGTATAATCTCCCTTCCCTTGTTCCTTGTAAGTGAAGTCTAGAAAAGAAGGTTTTTTCTAATATGCGCATGTCTAAGAGACTAAGTGTGTGTGTGTCTGAAAAATTATTGATGAAAAGGTGATGGAAAAACTGGGTTTTATGAATTTGTAAGAGAAAATATGACAGAAATTAAAGTGTTAGTCTGAGATTTTCAATTTCATGCTCTTCTACAGACCTCCCGTGTAGTCCAGGGGAAGTCACTTGTGCCCAGAGCTGCACAAGGGGTTAGCCACAGCAGTGTTTGGCATTGCAGCATTGAATTGCAGCCAGCTACCTCCTTGGTATCCACAGCCGTGGGGTAGGCAGCTGGGCTATGTATGCAGCTTGGGGTGTGGGGACAGCGAAAGGAAGACTTGTCTGCATCCATGTGCCAAGAAGGGACCCATCTAGGCTGGTCATTGGCAAGTGCATATGGAGGAGAATTATTTTCTGTCCTGGTCCCAGCTGCAGGTACCTTATTCTGGGTGGGAGGGAGGAAGCTATCACTGAACAGCGTTCGCATCCATGACTGAAAAAAATGGACATTGGTTTCATTTTTAAAATTAAAACCCAGAAAAATTTCAAATGGGAATGGACATTTTTTGTGAAAAAAGTTAATGAAAATAAGGTTTTTCCAAACAAAAAATCTGACTGCCTCTTTCCTTTCACATTCGTCCTCTTGTAGATGTCATGGATGAGGTGACCATCAGGGTAGGTTTCAGCTAGAACAGAAACCTTCAATTTTTGCCAGATGTCATCTCTTCAAAATGCTTTGTTCTCCATAGGACTGGTAGGGAGAGTCTATGGTAAGGGCACTGGCAAACTAAGCTCTGGTTTTAGAGACTACAGGTTTCAGAGATACTCTTTACAGTTTGAAAATGGGAAATGCCATCAATAATGTTAATATCTCTAACCATTTCAGGTGTGCTCATTAAATGTGTTATTCACATCCCTTTTCAAAAAGCATTTTATATTCTCATGCTGAACATGTCATCATCCCCATGGTAAAATGTACCAACCCCAGACAGACAGGAATAGAAAGACAGGTTGACAAGAATCCATTTTTGCACCTAGAAGCTAGATGGCTTTAACCACTCTAACAAGCCATGGCTTAGAGTTGGTTTTGCTTTCGAAGTAAAATGCAACTATACAGCCATCTGAGGGATCTGGACAGTTGAGCTATAAAACCCCTGTTGTTTCTGACAGCAGCAGAAACCCCAGCTCTGTGCAATTCACTTTCTGTATTTCATAGTTGCCAGTTATTATGCTGTGCTGCGCACACACACGTTGCAAGCAGGAAGTAGGAGCAGCTCAGCTCTTGGCTTCCCCGGTCTCAAGAGACTGCCATGAAACTGCAAAACACTAAACTAAAACCTAAGTATCTGTTAGACCTTTAATTAGCGACCTAAGGAGTGTTTGCCAAGAGGAAATTTGAATTCAATTATCCAAATAGAAAGTATTTAACCTCTCAATAGCACTCGAGTAATTATAATACTTGGGGTTTTTTTCAGGAACCTTAAAAAATAAAACAAAAAGCAAATTAAAAAATGGTAGAAGGTGTCAATTTTATATTGCATGGAGCATACAAAGGAAATCTGTAACATTGCCCATGCTTTAGACCCCTCATGTTTGCACAGAAAGGGGCAGCCTGAAGGAGAGAGAACAGGTTGCAAGATTCTTGATTTCCCCACTGAAACAGCCAGCAATAGTATCAGGGCCAACAGTGGTAGTTTTATGTGCATCAGTACAACAATAAACACACAACTGAGATCAGCAGGTCATCTCACGCAGCTTTTAATGTGATAAAGGTGCTCAGTCAGTGTCAGGACTGGGATGCATCAGAAGAGGCTGTATATTCCAGTACATTTTGCAAACATCAGTCAATACCAGCCAAGCCATTTGCATTTCAGATTGCAGCAGCTGTTTCAGCCCTGATCCCAACTGTCCTTTCACTACACATCCACCCAAAACCTTCCAGAATTAATCCCAAGGAAAAATGTCAATATTTTCTTGCTCCTCTCTTCACAGACTGTAGGTTGCTCTGGGATTATGTCTATCAGCTGCTTTCTGACAGCCGGTACGAAAATTTCATCCGATGGGAAGATAAGGAATCCAAAATATTTCGGATAGTGGATCCCAACGGGCTGGCCCGGCTGTGGGGAAACCACAAGGTAAGGAAGCAATGCAGTTTTCTTCCTATGGCACTTCACCTCTTGTAACATCACAGGATTCACTTAAAAACAAGGCAAAAAGGAAGAAAACGTGCATATAAAATACTGCTGGAAAGTTGTAATCTTTCATTCTACACACATTAGAAATAGAAAGCATCCAGCCTCAAGCACTAAAACCTATTCTTCATATAGAAAACCTGTTGGTTTGGTTTAAAGGTATTTAGTTATAAATGCATTTCATTATAAAATCACATGGAGTGCAAGAATTAACGGTCCTTCTCTCTCAAGGCATCTCATTTCTTCCTGAAACCTGATGCTAAGGATGTTCTAGTTAGGTGTGGTCTACAAGGAGCTGCATACTACATCTCGGCAGGAGCTTTCTGTCTATGTTCCTGTCTGCACCAACATTCAAATTTCACACACTGTCCTGTGACAGATGCCAAATGCTGCAGGATTATGTATTTCCTTTTAAGAGAGTAATTCTGCTTTGTCCTCTGGAAAGCAGTTACTGATTTTTGCAGTTTGGGGCTGAGTATGTACAGAGATATCTGTATGAGTATATGCGTATGAGTATATTCGTATATGAGTAGTCAGCATGGATTTACAGAAGGGAAATCATGCTTGACCACCCTGATATCCATCTACGATCATAGAATCATAGAATCATAGAATCATCTAGGTTGGAA